CTTGGGAAAATATGCAGGGCTTGTGGGAGCGTTGTTGTTGAATTGTCCGTATGACATTCCATACATGACAGACTCAAGAGTGTGTGTTAATACGTATACCTATCTGCTTACGCTTAGGTGTGGTTAGGATACCTGCTGCCAAAATAGACATGGCTGAAGTTACCGAAACAATAAACGTGGTTAACGGAAACCAGTGTTTACATGTTCTTCATGTCTAAAATGCATGCACCCCTACATTGTGAATTGTATTGTATGCGTCAACTTCAGTGAACCCCGTAGTCACTGGACATAACTGATTGTCTGCCAAGCTTATAAAATACTCTGCCCTTAAAAACAGAATTTATTGGAGTACTTATCATTTGGGCATTGATTGTTTGTATGAATGAACATCAACTCCAAGGTATGTGGTTTTATATCTTTTAGTTTATCTGGGTTTGATGTGCATATTTGTATGTTTATCTGGGTTTGATGTGCATATTTGTATGTTTATCTGGGTTTGACGTTCACATTGATATGTTTATGTGGGTTTGATGTTCACATTGATATGTTTATCTGGGTTTGACATTTACATTGAAATGTTTATCTGGGTTTGACATTCACATTGATATGTTTATCTGGGTTTGACGTTTACATTGATATGTTTATCTGGGTTTGACGTTCACATTGATATGTTTATCTGGGTTTGACGTTTACATTGATATGTTTATCTGGGTTTGACGTTCACATTGATATGTTTATCTGGGTTTGACGTTCACATTGATATGTTTATGTGGGTTTGATGTTCCTACTGATATATTTATCTGGGTTTGACATTCACATTGATATGTTTATCTGGGTTTGATGTTCACATTGATATGATGTTTATCTGGGTTTGACGTTCACATTGATATGTTTATCCGGGTTTGACATTCACATTGATATGTTTATCTGGGTTTGACGTTTACATTGATATGCAGGGTTCTCCACGGTTTGAAAATTAAACAGGGCGCGCCAATGTGAAGTGGGCGTGGCACATTTGTAACGTGCATCATTGGCAAGGATGTTGAAAAATGGAAACCAAAAAATCTATTAATCTACATATTATTACATATGCATAATATATATTTATTATTACAAAATGAATAAGAATTTCGAAGAGCTATTATTAAGTAAACGTCAGCACGTACAATCACTGATTTTAGCTGCACGATTCCTCACGGCGACATCAGTTGTTTACAAGTAATGATCTGTCCA